TTTATATATTATTATATATATATATATATATATATATATATATATACATATATTTGAGTAAAAATAATGTTACGTATAATGTCGAATAAATAACCAATATTAATCAGATTTTTCATATAAAACACGTTTACGCTCGGAATACACAATGGTATCCAAATGACTTTTCTTAATTAAAATATTTCAAGCTTCCCAAATTTGTAATTTTGCGCATATAAATACTAATACCAATATAAATTTACTATATACTAATTTATCATATGAAATTTATAATTATAAATTTATTATAAATTTATTATATAAAAATGTATTATATAACAAATAATGTTATTGTTATGCTTTTATTATCCGTATATCTGAAATAACTCGGATCCGATTTTAAAATCTGAATATTATATTGTACTACAGTACCTGAATATTTTAATATGATTAAAAATATTCAAGATTTGACTATTTATTGAGATTTACTTAAAAATTCAAAATGACAAAAATATTATTAATTCTTATATAATTTTTCTTCAAACTTGCGAATAATTTTGAGATATTGAAGAACAAAATAGGATAATGAGAATTCTTCATAAGGTCACGTTTGCCCGGTCGAATTTATATTTTTATCATCGACACGCGAATCTACCGCACAAAAATTCTGTAACAACTAAATTACTCCGCCGGGAGAAATATTTCTGCGAGCCCGGAGCTCTTCGTGCGCAGCGTTGTGAAATTTTCCGGGGACTCTCAAAAGCGAAAATAGCGTTCATGCAGGAATCCGAACATGGCGACGCCAAACATACCGTTAAAGCGTAAAAAAGGGAAGGGGCAGGAAACGAACGGAGCGAGGCGTTACATTAATTCGCATTTTTGGTGACGAACTCCGCGGTTTTGCTTGTTCCAAGTGACACACGTGCTCTTTTTTTCTCTCATTTTTTGCGTAGCCTTTGAAAATATTTCACTGAAAAAAAATTGGACAGATTCGCCACTTTGACAGGCTCCGATTACCTTAAAAATATAATAAACGGCAGGCGCTTCGCGCCTACATGACGAATTGATCAACTTGCGGAACCGGTAGAAAAATTGGCTTTTACAGCTTGTGAAAAGCTGTTTTTCCAACGGATCTCCCCTCTTGATATTCGATCTACGAGATGACTACAATGATATTTCAAGCTAGCAATTAACGATGCGTTAAAGCGGTAAGAGATTCGAGCGGCCATCCATCTTCTTTTTTCATATCTCACGGTAAGAAAGCGACTCCTGAGTGCATTATCGTCGATCATTCCTGTTTTTTTTCTGCCGTTTAGCTCTTCCCTAATCATACTGATGGATTAAGGTTTCTTAGAAAGCTGATAGGAATTGAATTGACTGGCGATTACGATTACATTACTCACTCCATCTGATTCACATTTGAGATCGCCGTGACATGTGTGATTTACACTCATGCGCGAAGATCATACATCAATATAAAAGCATTTTATGAATATTTCATATTAAATCCAGCGCACGATATCTGCCCCTTTGACCCGATTTTCATTCAATTGTATGATGATATTTGTCGATGATTAAAGTGAAAGAATGTGGCCAACATTTCCGTGAAAGAGAGATATTTTATGAATAATGATGAAATCACGAATTCCGATTAATAACATTAATATGTTTTCCAATTTATACTTTCCAAATTTATCATTAACATTTTAACAATACGCGGCTGCTACATCAACATTTAAATATTTTTACTTAAACACTTCTTCCTGAAAAAAAGAATTGTAAAATTGTTCCACTTTTTTTTATTTATTTTATTATAAGTTTACGATTACTTTACAATTTACTTAATTTTTTATCAAACATAAAATCAATCACGTTCATTTATTCACTTACAAAAGATCTCACAACTGGAACCAATTTGATTCTCCTTGAAATACATTGTTAAAAATCTAAGAGACACGTATTTTTTTATATTGGCCCAATTTGAAATTTAAGGGATGAAACAACTCTTCAAAACTAACGTTTATATTTAATCCCAATCAATTATTAACTAAACATGGAGATATATAGAAAAATGTTTTAGACAAAATTTTTATAATTCTTTATATACTTTATAAGTGTATTTAGATTTTTATAAAATTTTTTCAAAATACTCATTCCTCATTATTATTTTTATGAAAATTTAAATTTCTTCTAAAGGTAAATTTCAATCAAATGATATTTTAGTCACATTTAACCATACATAAAATTATTTTATAAAATCATATCTATGAGAAATAAGCTGAAAAATTTCACAAAAATAGTGGGAAATGAGGATATCTCGAAGAATATTAAATTTTTGAAAAATCTAATTATGCAGTTATAACATACATAAAAGTCATAAAAATTTTTGTTTTAAAATATTTTTCTATATATCTCACCGCGCGCTTCGTCGATAATCGATTGGAATCAAATACTAGCATCAGCTTCGACGAATTGTTTCATCCCTTAAATTGAGCTAATATAAAAAACACGTGTCTCTTAAATTTTTTGTGTTTAACAACACTTATTTCAGAAAGAACCAAATCAGTTCCGGACAATTAGGACGGATCTCTTCTGTCAGTCATCTCGATATGATGAATCGGAAGAAGGGATACGCATTATTGATGCAAGATTGACTTTTTACCCGGATGCTGCACTCTCAGCCGTGCGGACAATTAGAAAGTACGCAAGCGAGAAATCGAGCTGTCTATTTCGTCTGCTCGTGCCGCAACCAGAGATTGCCAGAGACAGGCGGAAACCATCATTGTAATTCGCTTGGTAATTCGTAACTAATTCCGCAAAATCGCCATGAGCACA